AGCCAGACAGGCTCCCCTCATTCAGCTGCTGCTGAAACTGACCAGCAGTGGCTGAATCAGGGACGCCTGGGGCAGAGCCAGACTATCGTAAGGGGGGGCTATGAGGGGTCTGGGGTGGCATCCCCTCCCACCCCACTCCAGACCCCTCATAACCCCCCCTTCTGATATTCCGGCATGTCTGATAATCCGGCACCCCCTGGGTCTTAAAGGTGCCGTATTATCGGAAGTTTACTGTATTTGTTGTTTTTTAAGTTTATCCTGTACAGACTAACTCAGCTATTCCCTGAAGCTTTTTATATGTTATATGATTTCATGCTTATTCAGAAGATGGCATAAAGCCAAATATCCTCTCCCTGTATGAAAAGCATACTCCCCTCCCCAAAAACACCACTCTCTTCTGTTTCTCATATCTACATTCAACACGATGCAAACAGACATTAGCATTTTTTCACATGGATCAATAACTTAATTTGGTAGATTAGTTGAACCCTTTGTACAGTTATCAGCCAGCAAGACAGCAGTCATTTTGGTGATAGGATAAATAATCAAAGCCTGCTTGCAAGTCTTTAGTAATTTCAGAGTTCTGTATCTCACAGAATAATAAGTATGTCTTCCCCACCTCCTCATTCCTGCGAACGGTATGTTATTAACATATCTGAGAGTTGGTGAGTAGAATGAACACTGAAATGTGACTCTCTTACAAAGCAATCTTCAAGCCAAATTCTTTCTTCCTAATTACATGAGGCAAATTTTAACTGGAATTATAATATAGAAATAACCCAAATGGGCCCTTCTTGTTGTTGAATGATTTCCCTGAACTAATTTTCTGTGTCAGCATTATACAATGTCAGAAATGAACGTGTTTGCATAAATCTACATCTGTAGTCAGAGAGTGCTTTACAGAGAGGAATCGCTGTGCAGTAAGATGAGGGCCTGAAACAAAAGTCCATATAGCAAAGGCCTGGTCTGAGGCCTAGCTAACAATGGACAAAGCTTGGCTAATATAAAACTAAACTAAATTGTGAGCAAGAGGCAGGCCCCCACTCACAGAACTTGGCATGAACAGGGATGAGAGTGTAAAACACTCATTGCTAATAGGTCTACATGTGGATCAGTAATTGGTACTAGGTACCAACTGTAAAACAGCAATTGGTGCTGGTCATAATTTGAAAGCACAATACAAATTAGGATTGTACTACCAGGTCGTTAAGAAAGACTTTGGTACCCACATATACTGACTCAGGTTCAGAAAAGGGTCTAAAATGACAGCATGATGGATAAAGATGTTCTAACTGAAACATGAGGTGCAGGGTAATGGGTGGTATCTAAGTAGCATCAGAGAATGGTAACCTGACAATGTCAGAGGGTGGTAACCTGATATGTCAGGAGTGATGTGTAATTTGTTTGTACTTATATATATAGTGGTGTCTTGGAGGGGCTGTCTTTGTCTAGCCTAGTGGGCAGTGGGACCTCTTGCTGACTAAATCGGCCCATTGTTATGGGGTACATATGTGTAGTGGTTTGGTAGAGTCTACTGACAACTATTACTATACTTCACTTAACAATAATCCAGGCTGGGTAAGGACTTCTTACATTAGTAATCAATTATGACATCAAATGTCCTTGTTGTCCAAAAAACCTTACTATTCACATAATGATATCAAGAAACTATTATGGGGGGGTTGAATTTAGAGACAAAATATTTGCAAGTGTCAGTCTCAAAAGAAGCTTATATCATCTTACGCATTTAAGGAATAACACAGATGTTCACCTTTAAGTGGAAGCATAAATTCAAAGTAACCAGTATCTTCTATAAAACATTTTCCAACCTTATTCTCCTTAAAGTTTAGAGAATGAAGACTTTAGCATGGCTATAAAATAAATCAGTTTTAATATGGATATTATTTTTCTTTGTGTGTTTTTTCTCTTTGCAAAGAGAGGAGGATCAAAAGGGCTTACATTTATGATTTGGTTTATAACACATACAAAACATCACTTCTCATTGGAATATCCAAAATAAAGAACATTGGAAGACAGGACACTGGGATAAATGGACCTTTGGTCTGACCCAGTATGGCCGTTATGTTCTTAACTTCACTGAGATACCTGCTAAGGCAAATGAGCCAAAATAAAGATTGCCTCTTACACTACTTTGCTAGCACAAAGATGCTTGTGATTGCCAATGTTTTCACCATAAAGTCCTTATCTTAACTATTATACATATTCTTGCATTTTTACATGTTTCACCCATGCATAGAAATAAAATTATAAATCAGTCAGGCATTTTTAGAAACTCCAATGAAATTATCCCAGACATAACAGAGAATTTCAAACTCACATTACTGAACACTCATTCTTAGGCACTACTACTAAGCAGCATAACAATTTACTATTACATATATCTTTATTCTCGTACAGGAAAAAAATCAATTAAGCATGACCAGGAGTTCATTTACACTGAATATGTTCTTATTCAAGCACAGTATTCCAGCTGAGTTACCCCTCCCCCCAAAAAAATACCCAAACGAAGACTACACACTACATTAAATGTTCCATGGAAACACACTAAAATAGAGAATATATGTTCTGCACTAATTGCACATTTTTTGTCTTGTCCAACGGAGTGCTGCTTCTACACAGAAGCATCACAAATAGGGATTTAAAAACTCCTAAAAACCAATTAAAATTAAATTGGTTACACCCGTGTTTCTCAGACTGTGGGTCCCAACCCCCCGGTGAGGGTCATGGTATCACAA